AWWARRAMATGTGAAAAAGTAAMCTTTCCTAACCCACTGTTTCTCACAACCCTCAACCAGTTAAGAAGGAATTGCCAGCTTGYTGGCTACCAAAAGGAGCAAGCATCAGAGAGATATCAAGCAGTATAAAGACATATCAGATTATTTTGTTGTGAGAGCTGTACATCTAAGTGTGTCATAAAATGCTACCTGTCTATCATTTGACCTCACAATGGTTTTAAATTGATTAGATTAACCTACCAAAAGCATGTAAAATCAAGCGCATTTACTGTGGTCCAGAGAGTACATTTCTACTCAATATTACTGGTAGAGTACTGGCATTTGGAAACAATGATGAAAATCAACTTGGACTTGATACATTACATCGCTTAAAGAAGAGAACAACCACAGTAAGTCTTGATTACATTATAACCATTTATTTTATATTTTTACAAATGATTAATACAAATATGATGATAATAGCAAGGAGGTCATGTTTCAAGTGCCAATGTACCAAAGGTTGTCCAGTCACTTAGCAGGTGAGAGAGAATTTATGCTTTTCATTCATATATTATATGAATTATAACTAGTGATGTTCCTACCCTCTGTATTTTTATCACATTTGTTTCTTTGTTAAAGATACACTGTAGCAAGTATTGCTTCAGGAAAGACACATTCAGCCATCATAGATGGTAAGGTATAAAGTCTAACCCTACAGCTACCTCCCCCTCTCTACAGCTAGCCCTCCTCCTCTACAGCTACCCCCTCCTCCTCTACAGCTACCCCCTCCTCCTCTACAGCTACCCCCTCCTTCTCTACAGCTATCCCCTCCTCCCCTACAGCTACCCCCTCCTCCTCTACAGCTATCCCCTCCTCCTCTACAGCTATCCCCTCCTCCTCTACAGCTACCCCCTCCTCCTCTACAGCTATCCCCTCCTCATCTACAGCTACCCCCTCCTCCTCTACAGCTATCCCCTCCTCCTCTACAGCTACCCCCTCCTCCTCTACAGCTACCCCCTCCTGATTCCCCTATAGACTCTTGTCACACATAGCAACTGTTTTCTGGATGTCATTTGTTTACAGTGTATGGGCGCCTAATAACTGTAGGGTCTAATAAATTTGGTCAACTTGGAATGAATGACTTTCAAAGACATCCAAGTCCTTGTCTAGTGAAAGGAGAGTTGATCAGTAAACAAGTGATTGCTGCTTCTTGCGGTGATGAATTTACTGTTGTGGCTACTGCAGGTAAACAGTGATTACAAACTTATCCCTACCTAAAACATGTGACTAGAATATTAACTCTCACATTATGTATGTGTACTTTTTATAGAAACTGAATATATGGAAACAACAACTTATTTTGATAGTAAAGTTCATTTCACCTCATAAATTGTTCAACCAGTTAGTAAACACTGTCTTCAGATAAGCATGTTATTTCATGTAGAAAACATGGTGTATGCATGGGGTCGTGGTGATAATGGACGTCTTGGTYTAACACCTGATAACCTRTTTAAGAAGAGAAGCTCAATACCCTGTAGTTCTGTACCTCGTCCAGTGTTTGGTGCTTTGCATTCAGTTACTAGTATTGACTGTAAATACTGGAATGCTATTATTGTTGCTGGTAAGATGTTGTCAATGATGATGGTAGATATCTCAATAAAAATGGTGATGCTGTAGTATTAATTATCTTAACAAGATGATGCCTTTTAGAATTCATCACTGAGTGGCTCTTCTTTCCTTTTAGAAAAAGTTCTCAATTCTCGAACTATACGAAGTGCATCAAGGTCTCTGGACTCTCAATCATGTATGTTATTTTAGTGCAATAATCTTATATGGTAATTATGGTGGTTGTGATGATAACTATGATATTTATGAGTCATTATAATACAAGTTTTAATGATGTCATTGTTTAACAGCTACAGAAGACTCAGTTTTCTCRGACCGCCTGCGCATTGAGGTAGACAGCAGTCTTGGTGATGAAGATGGTCATGTGATGGATAACAGCAGRCATGTGCAAATGGGGGAAACTGCTGACTCTGGTGTTGGTCCATCTCCACGATCACCAATCCCAAGAACCCTTGGAGATACCAGCCTCCCTCCACCTTGGCTACAAGACGTATGTTGTTTGTTCACTCTGATTGTTTATTATGCGAGRTGGAYACCAGCACTAAAATAATTGCATCTTGTATTTGACAGGAACTTGACCAAGCGGAYTACATTTCCATTGACTCTAATTCATTGGTATCTAGCAGCAAGTCATCATCATCATCACCATTCCCAGCATCAACCACTACAAGTGGTAGTTCCATGCCAGTTTGGTTAAAGAAGGTAAGGTTGGTTAGGTTATTCAGATTATAAATAAATCAAATGATACTATAGTGGTGAGTGATGTTGAAAGGTGTCATTGAAGGGGGGATGATGGAGGGGGTGCGGGTGGGGGGGTTGGGGTGGATTAAGGTATTCTAGTGCAGTGATGATATTTCTAAAAACTGCTTTGTTACATGATACAGGAACTGATTGAGGCAGAATACATTCCAATGGATGATACTGACATTAAAAATAGGTATTGTTTTGAACCTGTACTATTAATGTCATATTAAATGCTCAAAGACAATCTTTTTATGAATGATTTGTTTTGTCCAGATCTTCATCATCATCAATGACAAATGTTACCCAAGATTCTCTATTGATGTCAGTTGGTGTACAGTGTGACACATATACTATTGACAATGACAATGAAGGTACAACATACTATAACAAAAACAGCTGTATGTCTTTTGAAAAACTATTTTCGGTAGTGAATGCTCTTAAGACTTAAGTAATGTCTGTTTTCTTTTCACAGATCAAACTCACAGTGGTTTGCTTCAAAGGATTCTTCAATTAGAATCAGAAAACAAACAGGTAATAGATCTATTGTTGAATGTCATGGTTGATGACATGGATTAGACAATGATTATGATTCTTACATTTTCCTGTTTGGCATTTAGTTACGAACTACTATACAAGAACAAGTCATTCAAATCAAGTCAGTTCAACATGAAGTAAGTTATGCTGCAATCAGTGTTGACATTTGATTGATTGATTGATTGATTGATTGATTGATTGATTGATTGATTGATTGATTGATTGATTGGTTGATTGATTGAATCCTTTTGAATGCTAATAGAATCGCGTGTTGACTGAAAAGCACAGCAGACTGTGGGAGCTGATTGATGAATGGCATAAAGATTGTCAAAAAGCCTCTGCAAACCTCAAACACACAAGACAACCTCCTCGAAAAATGCCTGCAACACCAATGCTATCGGATCCTAGTGACAGGAAAAGAAATGAATCAACTGAATCCTCAGACATTTCAACGGTAGCTGCATTATACTAATATCATAAGATCTTTGTTTCTCTTGTAAAGTATTAGYCTGCGTACATCTSTTGTTTACGKGTAAACGCTGGATGAACTCAGGCTAGTAAAGTATTAGTCCACAGGGTTGTTAAGTATTAYTMAAAGAATGCGCAGAGCATTCTGGTATCTGCTGTCAAATGATGCCGTAATCAAGCTACTTTACTTATTCTGTTATCAATTTATTCTGTTATCAATGTTTGCTGATCAAGTCATTTCAATACTGCAGGAGCGAGTTGGCCAAAGCAGCAGTTCATCARAYCAATCCAAGGCTCATGATGTGACTGGAGTACGCAATGAATCATGGGAGGTCTAATTATTATATTRTTTCACAAGGCACTGAGTCCGTGAAATTAAAGTCAAATTTGTWGCTAATATTTTTAGTGRCTATTTTGTCGCTATCATTCAAGTAAACAATGCTAGAAGAAAAGGAAACAATATCTCGTTACGAATTATGTCGTCTAATACTCTGTAAATAAGAGATATTTGGGTAATGGAGTGTCTTCGCTCCATTATGACATATCGTAAAATGTATTTCCTTTACTGAATACTAAATTATTTGTTTTATATTTCACTTGAAAACTTTGCATGGAAAGAAAGCGACTAAGATTTTAATATTATCAAATGACAGGCGTAGTGGGTTTTTATCTATTTTAATGTATAATGGGGTTTTAAATCCTAATACATTTTATTTATAAACGTCTGTATTATTTATGTTTAAATATTCCTTATTGTAAAAACAATGATAGATGTAATATTAGACAAAATTAAAGATATTATAGTAGACACGATTATTGGCTAGGATGTTATCGTGAGTATGGTGCTCTAGGAAAGTGACGAGAGGCAGACAGATACTCTGGTTACAATCATGTCACTTAGCATTCTGTAATGGATTCGTCTCTAAAATGAATTCGTTTCGACACGTCCACGTTGTTATGTATACTACATTTCGTACAGCCTGTCTTACTCTGTGAAATTTACAAATGTTTATTTATTCAATGTWACCTCGAGTTAAAGGAAGCAATTCGCTTATCTTAACTCTCTTGGTAGGTTAAATGGAAATCCTAGTATTTTAGACAACGATTTGAATGATTTTTAAACACAATTTCTCGGTATTTTTCTCCTGACCGTATATACAGTGATTTGTGCAGAAAGCTCACTTTTATTGTCCATGTTTTAGGCAATTATCTTTT